TTAAAATTACAGTCATCTACAAGCTTTGCAAGTGGGAAAACCTGAAAAATCAACAGTGTATCAAATACTTGTTCTCCCCACTGTAGATCTCTGCCACATTTCTATTCCAATGCAAACTGGTCAAAGCAAACTGAGCTCTGGTCTTACAGTGCAAGGTGAGAGAAGATGGCATTAAATTAGCTTTCCAACTGTCAAATAAAATTCTATCACTTTGTCCCAGCCAGCACTCATGGCCTTGAAACCTTTCTTTCTCTTTCTCCTCTTGTTTCCCCAGTCGATAACATTTAAACAGCCAAACTGGAAGAATGAGCAACTGTCAGGGAGCTAAAACCTCCCCTGGGACCCAAGATGTCAGCCAGAAACAACCAAGTGAGTAAGTTTTGGCACACCTACTCTTCCAACTTTTCTGCCCCTGAAAATCTCAATGAAATATAAACTGATATTCAAATATGATCAACCATTCTTAAAAAGAAAAAAAGGTATAGACATATATATCTCAGCTAGATCACTTTGTTTTGCACCATTTTAGGTTAAAACCCAAAAAAGCTGTGTTTAAAAAACAAAACAAAAAACATTGAGCTTTTCATTCTAGGTAACTTCATTCTTCTAATTTTCTGAAAATTGTTGAAGCTTATTGAATGCTGAATGCTATGTTGCTAATTGTTGAATGCTGCTGATGCTGCTGTTTGTTGAAGAAATGCTAAATGCTATGTTGCTATTTCAGCTGTTTGTTGGAGATCACTGCTGATAATGCTTTAAGTGATTTGTTGAATATATTGATGTTTGTTGAATACTGCTAGCTGAATGGTAAACATTATGCTGCTTGCACTGTTGTTTGTTGGATACTGCTGCTTATGGCTGAATGATATGTTGACAATGCTGCTGTTGTTGAATATTGCTGCTGATAGCTGGAAATGTGAAATGCTGTTGTGCAAATGTTGATGTTGAATCTTGCTGTATCTTGCTGAATGCTATGCTGCTGCTGGTCTATGTAAATGGACTGGGAGTTAATTCAAATATACGTTTCATTAGTTATTTAGGATGTTTTGTTGTTGGATAAACTGAGCACCGAGGAATAGTTTCATGCATATTTTAGTGTAATTTGCAACACCTTTTTTAGACAAGTCCATTGAGATCAGTATTTCACAGGAAKGATCCCCTCCCATTGTTTAAATCTATCTCTAACTCAGAGTACATTGTTATATAAACACTTCATTTGAGTAGATTTTAACAAAGGTAACTTGTGCCTAAATTTCACTTATGTTAGTTGAACACTAAGAACAAGATAAATGGAGAAAAACAACAGCAAGTTTTTGTGTTGCCTGTGATTTTTCTCAAATCATCTCGTTTTAAAGGAAACCCGTAGGAAGAAACATACAGGAAACAAAAACGCCTCAGGGAAACATTTCTATTGTGGGGAATACTGAGAAGGAATTGCTTGATGTTTGCTGTGCAATTACAAACTGAGAAAGACATGATTAAAGTCTGCCAGTGAATTCTTTTGTTTCTGACGTTGGGATTATTGAATTCCCTTGTTGCAGATTAGAGTTATTTCTTTATAGTGACACAAAAAAGGATATTTCAAGATCAGAAAGAAGATTAATTGGTTTGAGCCGTCTTAAAGAAATCCTTGTTGAAGAAAGCGTCTAATAATTGGCACAATAGTGACATTAAAATTTCTCTTTTATACTGTCAATCATTGTTTTGCCAACATCCTTGGGAATAACTCATGGTTCAATTGCATTTTCTGACATTGCATCACCTTTTATTGTTTAATATGCAAAGCTGTACAAGAGGAAAGCTTAATCACATACATTTTTAGGCCTCCTGAACTCTGTCAGATGACTTGATTAAGTTGATTAATAAGGCTTCTGTTTGGCTGTTGATAAACAACTCACTGCCAGGGTGTGCAACCATAAAGCACAGAACATGGTTAGAGTGGAGGGCTCTGTAAAAGTAAATGGAAAGTGCTTGGTTTTAATGTCTCCAGGGTTAAAGGGGGAGTTGTTGGTGACCTTGTTGTCAAAAAGGGTTATAAAAGGGCTGTATAGATCAATTTAATGAAAAATAAGGTTGCACACATAGCAGGTGTACAGTCGAATGAATTACAGTAGAATCATCTTATTGCTTCATTGTTTGTGTTTGAAGAATGTTTTGATAATTAAAAATGGCAGCACCATGTCAGGAAATCAGTTTTTTTATTTTTTTTATTAGCAATTTTTAGTTGTACTTTTGTAAATTTTAAATCATATCAACTTTAGTAGATCTGAGAGCAGTGTGCAGGGTACTTTTTCTCATTTCCTTTGAATATTAGAGCCTWATTCATGTAAAAAAAATGCATATATAAATGCTTATGCCGAACTTCAGAGGATTCTCAATTTTCTGCTGGAGAACAATCAGCTTAAAAATTAATCTATTCCTGTCACATTTATATGACAAGATAATCTTAGTGCCACATTTTCTCTTAGGCTGGTTATTGAGAACATACTGTAATAGGTTTATATTTCTTTGTTTACTATGTACACACAAAACAAATACAGTACGAATATCTCAAACACGGTCTAAAAAGACTAAAATGGCTGCCATTTGTGGAAAAAAACAAACATATAACCTATTGCAAATTGTTTAAAAAAATTCTGTAAATTTATAATATAAAAGAGAAAAAGCTAGTGTAAAGTTGTGCAATTTAGGTCAATTGAAAAGGTTATGTCAGTAATATAAGTATTGGTTGTATCACAGCCATGGTATGTTGATGCTCATCTGTTTAGGAATGCCAGCATTAATTACAGACCTCACTACATTAATCCTCGTTGTTGGTTCGAGTCGCCCCAAAGGTCACTAAGACCCACCTGTTTCAGCAGTAAATATTAGACTAGGCTTGGTAATGACACTCACAGGTGTGTTTCGTTTGGCAGACATGTGAAACTGAGCAGATTGTGTTAATTCTGAATGTTCATATTCATTTTAAAAACCATTTATCATTTTGACTCCCAGTTTGTTTAACAGGAAACAACCTACAGATGTCAGATGYCAAGGATCATCTGGTAGACTTAAGATACCTTATTACTGAATTGCATTTTTATAATTTGGCGACCACTGATGTGGTGATAAAATGGTCACGTTTTGATTGAGCTTCACTGTTTGAATGCACTCCATAGATATTGAATTAGACACTCCTCCTAATCATTGGGGTGGCTTTATATGAACTGTTGGATGTGCTGTTTTTAATTTAAAGTAGATTTAGAGTGTGTGCYTGTGTGAATGGGTAAATAAATAGGGTTAAAAGGTGCCCAGCAAGCGCTTAAGTTATAATTACTAATGTATTAATGCACATAAATGCATTCATAATAAATCCCTGTATTTACAAGTGGAATTCAAGTATACCTACTTAAAACTGCATAAACTGCAAATCTGTGAAGCCACCATCAGTTTACAGCAGATGCACATCAACAGAACAAATCACGTTGCGGAAGTAAATATTTTTTCTTTTAAATATGCTTTAATCCATAAAATATTACCAAGAAATACAAATGCTACACCAGCAATTACCTTTTGCAAATAATTAAGATCAATTCTTGTCAAACAGAAGAAAATTGGCAGCAGAAGTACAAAGTATGTTAAATCTATAATGGCATAAGGAAAGACATTGGTAGACATTTATCTACATTTATGCCTGATGCTTGGCTGTATAATTTTCCTGGACATATTGTATACTGCACTAAAGGAAATAACCCGTTTTCTTAAGAGGGATTTGCATATATTAAATATAATGTATATAATGCCTTATTTTGCAAATTTGTCAAACATGATATGACAGGTCAGGATCTTAACTGCTGTTTTTTTTCTTTTTAGTTGGTATATTCGGCACCTAATCTAGAACCTCTGATTCTATATTTATAGACAAAATGTCATTAATAGTGTCCTTAATTAGAAGATGCAGTTACAAAAAAGGTTAAGAAAAAGCACATTATTATGCTTTGTTTAAAAGAAATGCCCCAAACTGTAAAGTTAGTTTTACAGGTTTTTATAATAATAGTTTAGTTTTGAGGGAGTGAAAGAAATTATAATACATGTTCGTTTACCATATAATGTGTTTATGACAGAAACACAACAATGCATGAATGTTTGAATGTGAAAAGAATTCATACAGTCACCAGCGCTGGACTGAAGGCAGGTTTATTAGCTCAGTAGATCATCTCTGCTTTCATCCCTGAAACCAGGAAGTCGTGTTACCTATAACCACTTTCTTCAGAATCTGACCCCGTCTACTAAGCTTGACATCACTGAGGGGGAACACTATCTTTTTCCTGGGTCAAATCCTCTTGACATAATTCCTGTTTCGGCTAGTGTTTCTATTACATTCAGTCACTGTGTTGAATATGTGTCCAGGCATGTAGCTACTTATATACTTCCTACTTTGGGTGACCGTGTCGTCCAGCCATCCAGACCAGTCTGTACATAAAATCACCGAATCACAAAAACAATCACACAGTGGTTTATAAAACTATATCATGTTTCTCCTAAGAAAAGACTATAAACTGTGTAGTGCTTTTTAAAAGTCAGTAGTAAACAACCCCAATAAATTTCTTCAGGAGTACACTTTAATTYCTTTAAAGTAAAAACACTTCAACCAGCGTTCTCTGTCTGTGTGCATAAACAGGCCTGAGTGTGAATATCCTTTAAACTCAGACTTGCTTGAGTGTCATTCTAAAGATCTGATCTCAGGAGGTTTTATTTAACTCCAAGCCTGACCTCTTCTCTCCTTTGTCTCCCTTCTCTGTATCTGTGCTCAAAATGGGTTTTTACTCGGTTCATGTTCGTGATAACAGTTAATGAGGAAAAACAATAACCGTCTCCCTGCTTGCCCACTCAGAACAGATTTGGTGAATGAAATTCTGGCACAAAGTGGCCTCATCTGGGGAAATGAGACTTTCTCTTGTTTTGTCAAAATATCGCCTACATGTGTTTGTTCATGTGCATCTTGATGCAAAACTTTTATTCACTACTGGCCATAAACAAACAGTTATGTTAGCTGTAAATAAAGTCTGTAGATTCTGTTTGGATACAAATACCAACAATACTGGATTGTTTAGAAGCAATCTTAATACAGATTTTCAGGAATGTAAAACAATTATTTATAAAAATGTAAATTGTAACTAAATATTTGTTTTGTTTTGATCTTAGCTTCTGTGTTTGACATACTTGTTTTTTCTTATGGTGTGTTGCAGATGAGTTGTGGTCTTTCAATTGTCATAATTTCTCGATGCTCTTTGTTTTTTCCACATTCATTGACTGCTCCCTATTTTAATTAATTTCTATTTTTACGTCCTGTTTTAAGTAGAAAACAGAACTGACAGGTTGAGGTTTCTGTCA